CACACACACACACTCACACTCTCTCACACACACTCACTCACACTCTCTCACACACACACACACTCACTCACACTCTCACACACACTCACTCACTCACTCACACACACACTCTCACATAATATATATATATATTAGTCGTGCGATTTTAACTGCGAGGTTTTTCTCAGTAACTGTAGAAACAGCGTGACATTAATGTTGGATTAACAGGATTCATAACGGGAAAGAACAGATCAAATTAAAAGCTACATAGAAGTTTGCTTACAAGTTAAATATCAAATGAATCCAAAGTGCTTTAGTCTTCAAGAATAAAAGTTAAAAACGTGATTTTACCACATTCAGTCCTTTATTATCGTATTTGTGCGCCAAATATTTCTGCTCATTTTCAGTCGATCAGAGTTTGGTTTGTCCTTCATTGAACTGACGAATGATTTGCGCTTCAAATCACGAAATATAAACGAGCAGATGATTCTCCATACTTAAAATGAATAAACTTGAAATCCGATGTTTAAATCATCTTTTATTCCGTTAAAATCCATCTGTCCATGAAAGGCATCATATGAGCTTCTGAAGAGAGAGAGAGCGAGAGAGAGATCCCTCCCAGTGTGTGTGTGTGTGTGTGTGGCTCAGAATCGCGTGCGAAGAGTCCGGCGTGTCATTCTGTGGAATCCGCCGCCTGAAACACACACACACACACACACACACACACACACACACATAAACTCACACACACTCGAGTCTCTGCTGCAGCTCATTCTGCGCTCGATCATCACACAGCAGGTAGGCTACTTTCATATTGGTTTATTGATGATTAGAGATCAGCTCTTGCTTTGACTGTAAATGGGTTAAGAGTGATTCTTTGAATCAATCATTCATTCATTTGATTATGTCAGAAACTATTTAAACTACTGAAAATTAAATCAGTAATTAATGATTGATGTCAAATTGAATGTAATGAATGCCTCCACTTTATTATTATTATTATTATTATTATTATTATTATTATTATTGAAAGAGCCTGATGTATGCATGTGTTTCACATATGAGCTTCTGAAGAGAGAGAGAGCGAGAGAGAGATCCCTCCCAGTGTGTGTGTGTGTGTGTGTGGCTCAGAATCGCGTGCGAAGAGTCCGGCGTGTCATTCTGTGGAATCCGCCGCCTGAAACACACACACACACACACACACACACACACACACATAAACTCACACACACTCGAGTCTCTGCTGCAGCTCATTCTGCGCTCGATCATCACACAGCAGGTAGGCTACTTTCATATTGGTTTATTGATGATTAGAGATCAGCTCTTGCTTTGACTGTAAATGGGTTAAGAGTGATTCTTTGAATCAATCATTCATTCATTTGATTATGTCAGAAACTATTTAAACTACTGAAAATTAAATCAGTAGTTAATGATTGATGTCAAATTGAATGTAATGAATGCCTCCACTTTATTATTATTATTATTGAAAGAGCCTGATGTATGCATGTGTTTCAGAGCATCTGTTGGTGAAGATGATTCCTCCTGGAGACTGTCTGTACGCTGGGAGGAAGAGGAGGAAACCCGTCCAGAAACAGTTAAGACTCTTTATCTTACATTCACTAACAGCTCTGTGTTTCAGATCATCAGCAGTGTTTAGCAGAAACTCACTGAGTGACTGAGACGAATGGAAGGATTGTTACTCTAAATCAGAACATCCTGAAACTCTTCGCTTAACAATATCATCAACAACAACAACAACAACAATAGTAATATGGTTTCAAACAATGCAGCAATGAAATAATGAACCGCTTATGTAACACTAAAGATCAAAATAAGAGAAAGTGAGTCAAACTGTTTAGAGTTCGATATGATGAGGCTTGATGTTGAATATAGAGTTCAGAAATCACTCGCGTCCGAAACTAAAGCTGGAACTGGTGGAGCTGCTGGATCTGTTTATGTGAATGAACGGCAGTCAGACGCACCTGCTGCTGTGTTTGTTACTGGATTTGAGTTTCTTCATCTCAGATAAGGTGACCGGTCCTCGGGGTCAAGGGTCAGTGCGGTGTGAGAGCGTTCATTTATTTATGTATTTATTTGGCCTCGTGAATCGAGTGAATTCATGTGTTCAGTGTGCAGCGAGATGAAGAACATCACTGAATATTTGACTGAATATCCACCTTTAACCCTCATGAACCAAGCCTGGCAATTATTGATTATTACTCATTTATTTTTAGAAAGCCACTGGTTGTAATATCATAATTTTGGGGTAGAATAAGAATTTGTCTCGGGCCCTGTGAATTTTCTCAGCGTTTTATTAAATGATCATTCTCTATCATCTATTATCATTAGTACTATTGAATGAATGATGTTACAGACCGTCACATAATAATAGAATAATAGTTCTTTGTGTCACTGAATATATTGCAGGTCAGATATGTGTATTTGTAGTGTTGTCACTGGCTGTGTGTAATGTAAAGAGTACATGTTTTTCTGCTGTCGTTCTGTATGGAGCTGAATCCAGACTAAAGTGTGTTTTCTGTGAATGCGTCAGACGTGTTGTAGTTTGATCTCTGAGGCTTGAGCTCAGTTGATTCTGGCTCATTGTTGCTTCATAACACTGTTGTTTTGTCCAGCAGAAAACCAGCGGCAGTGACGGAGAAATCGAACCCTTCGAAGCGGCACCGCGACCGTCTGAACGCTGAGCTGGAGCGACTGGCCAGCCTGCTGCCCTTCTCCCCCGAGATCATCTCCAAACTGGACAAACTGTCTGTCCTGCGCCTGAGCGTCAGCTACCTGCGGGTCAAGAGCTTCTTCAGCGGTGAGTGTGTGTGTGTGTGTGTGTGTGTGTGTGTGTGTGA